CTATTAATATACAAGTACAGACACATACATGAATTTTATAATTCTAAATGCAAAAAATTTAATGAACTTACTCTATACACATACACACATATTATGTATAGAATATATTGCAATAAAAATGTGATAAGCTTTTCATGATTAGGCGTATTTCTCATATAAATTGCATATTTTATTTATGCAAATCATTTGTACAGATGCAATTCGAGTTCTATTCTTTGTATGTATGTACGAATTCTATTCTATTTTCTTTATTATTACAATTTTACAATTTAATTATCAGTAATATTTTATTTATAGGTAGTATAGGTAATACTCTAATAATATTATGTTTGTTTATAATGTTACAAAAAAAAAAATTTTTTTTTATTATTATTGTTGTTGTTCAAATCTATTGTCTATCAAATAATATTGTCAGTTTATTATATCATTAAAAATAACGGTATTAATTCATGTAATCATTACATTAATATTAAATTTCAAACGGTATTACATCTTTAGATCATATTCATAGAAAGTACAAAATAGCGAAAATTTCTTTCACAATTGAACGTCACTACAATTAATTTCAGTATATGGCAATGTCACGGAATTGTTTTTTTTTTTTTGTAAATAAAATTATTTTAGTTTTTATTTTTTTTTTAATTTTTGTAAATTAGAATATAATTTAGTATAATTTTGTTTTTGTTCACTTAAAACTTTCCTAAATTGGTGAACCATTATCAAAGTTTTGAATTTGATTTTTAATAGAATTATTAGTTACTTATCTATTTTTCAATTAGATCTATGATCATTAATTTATATGGATACCCCATATATTTTTTTTTTCGTTTTAACAATTAATTACATATTTAGATTTAATATACGTTTGAAATTTCTATTAATATGCGTAAATAACAAGAATTATAAACACAAGTTTACTATATGATTGATTTAATTTGTAATTGTATAGTTTTTCAAATTATTTTTATAATATCCAACATGCGGTAACACTTAATATATGATATTTTCTCATTTAATTAAAATTGAATATGTAGAACTAAAAATAAATTAAATGATTATTAAAACAAAGATAAAGGTGAAAAAAAATGATAATAATTGGTGAAAAATATTGAAAGTGGTGAAAGATTTATTAAATTTGTTTTGTTTATTCGAACAAAAGTGAAATGTGAGCGAGAATCGGGTGTAATAATTTTTAAATTAAATTTAAAAAACGAAATTCATCTTCTATGTTTTTAAAAAAGAAAATTAAATATTTTGAATATTTTGGACTTTTTAGATTTTTTTAAATTATGTAAATAGATTTTTGTAAGAATTAACATTTAATCAACGAATTTGCATTAAGTAATAAGAAATTAAGTTAAGAATTATTGCTATATAAGAAGTTGAAATTATAAATTGCTTCATGATACGAGACGCTTTGTGGACAAGATTTTAAATTTTAAAATTCATGAATAGTCGAGATTCTAAAAAAAAATAATAAATGTAATATTAGCTGAGATTAGTTGAGAATTCGATCATACTCGTAAATTTTTTAGAATGTTTTTATTTCCATGGCTCAATTTTTTGTTCAATCACATTACCGTGTTATAAAAGATTTGTCTTAAAGCTATTGCTAATAAAACATGGACTATGAATACATCTGAAGTTATGAATTGTGAATTGTGAAATGAAAATTTTATTCCTAATAAGAAATATCTGAGTTTGAATATTTTTCGAATTTTTTATCTTGCTTTTCTGACAAATATTGTGATTTAAATAATAAGAAATATATTTAGAATATGAATTGTAAAATCTTCGTTAAATATGCAGCCGGGATCGTCCATGATACTTATACGATGTACTCTACTATCTGATTAATCTGAGCAATTTTTAAGATTTAACAAATTGGAACTATTTAATACTTCACCACTCTTTTTAACGAGAACATTACATTTTCACAGAAAATCTACTAAGGCTCAGCCAGATAAAGTATCTCTTAAATTTTATTTTAAGAATTCTACTACACTTTTGAGTAAAATAAAAATATTAATTTACAAATTATAATTTTAAATTTTACAAAAAATAGCTCTTTATGTTATTTCTTATCTTCAAATTTTTTAAATATTATTTAACGTGTCGGAGCTCTTTGTAAAAAAGTGTTGGTTGAAATTACAAAATTTTCAAAACGTTCTAATATTATTTATCAATAGACAGAGAAAAATTTTCTTATTTTTCATATAGAAAGAACAACGAACTATAATACTATGTAAGATTTTAAAGTTTCTTGATTCTTGAAGTTTATTTTTTACTTGTATGTGAACATGTAAGTATAGGTATGTGTTATAAGATTATCTATAACTGAAAACAAAAACAATGATAAGGAAAACAAAGTATGTGTACAATAAAAGTGAAAGGCAATCAATTTTATTGATTTGAATCGATTCTATATTAAAAACAATGTAAAACGAGAAATTATATTTAGTTGATCGGGTCAACTCGGTGATATCTTTAAGCATAAAGTATACATGATAAATCCTACGTAGACTTTGTTGTATACATGATAAATCCTACGTAGACTTCTTCCGCTAACTATTTTTAAATGGCTTCGTTCTTGCTGTAGACATATTTCGTACTAAACTTTGGGATCATAGTTTGAGAACCCTTAAACATGGTTTCTTGTTGAAGTTATGAAAATAACGGTTATCATGGTTACTGTATTTATTTGTGCAAAATTTCAATGTTGTAGTCTGGATAGTTTCTGAAAAATATACATCTTTTAAAATTGTATGGCATATATCTAAACTGTTATCTGGATCATTCCCAAATTAAATAGGATCTCGAAATTTGTCATGATTTGTAAAATTTTGGTGAATTTAGTTCAATTATTTTTGCTAATAATTGAGTTACTGCTTACGGGAAGGAAGTGGAGATATGCACAATCAGACAGACATTCATAAATCGCCACAAAATTCGACGTTTAGCAAAAATACATACAGGGTAATTTAGAAACGTATACAACAACATATACCATTGATCAGAGGGTCAAAAATGGGTAAAAATTTTGTTCCGGACTAGGTGCGAAATCTAAAGGGATTCCGCAATAAAGGGATTTTAACGAATTTTCACGAAATTTTTACTTATCTAAGTTTTTATAACTTCCGTTCCGAAAAAGATAGGGTCTTCAAACAAACAGTTTCTGAAAGGCCTAGTAAAGAGCTTAAAAAAACATGTTACTTGATTATGATTGTATATATATATATATATATATATATATATATATATATATATATATATATATATATATATATATACATATCTCTCAGTGTGACAAACGGAACAGCAAATTTATAATACACAATTGAACACACGCGTTTACACGAATATAAAGAATATGTTCTGAAAATAAAGTTCTACTATTCTTAGTGAAGCTTAGCAATAAAATTCGCAAAAAAAAAAAAACAAAATATAATTATCATTACAATTGTTTTTAAGGTGATAACAATTTTGTCACTTACAAATTTTTGAAATTCTTTTTTTTTTTTTTTGATTGAATGCTTATAAATTGTAAATTGCAAAATATGTATGTATATATGTACATATATGGCTAGACAAAATTTTTTTAATTAATTAACATGATTAATAAACTATGTAACTGTTCTTTATTTTTAATTAATTCCTTTTGGTTGTTGTTCTGATCTACGATCTTTTGAAGATTTTATTGGATGATTATGAAAATTAAAGAATTATTTTTGCGTGTGATTAAAGGAATCAGAATTTCGTTGATAGCTCTTTTTTTATAGAAATCAGAATTATAAACACATATTAGAGTGAAATAGAAAATATGATTTCGTTTAAAATTTATAGAATTTTTATCATCTGTATATAGTTCGGATTTTCCATAATTTGATGAGCTTTTTCTGATTATTATTTTAATTTGATTTTAAATTTAATATTGCTTGTAGTATTCATAAATTCTTAAACTCTAGACCATTCTTATGACTTGAACCTTGAAATCTGATTTAGTAGTAATAATTATCAAGTGAAAATTAGATTAATTTTGGAAAATCTCTGGTTTATGGATTTTCCATATTGTTATGTATATGGGGAAAGCTTAAATATTTTAAATATAATCTGAATTTTTTTGTATATTTAAAATAATATTAATACTATTGTATACGAGTATAAGTGCCAATATAAAACAATAAAGTTTTCGACAAAAAAAAGAGGGCTAAAGAGGTTAAGAGTTGAATTAAATTCCAAAAAAAAAAATGCAAATATTTATTAAAATTTTTTTGAATGACGCTTTCGAATGGTTTATAATAATATAGTGTAAAAAAAACCAGACTCTCTGTCTTTTGTGTATTGTCAAATAAACTTCTTTATATTTTATAATTTAATATGAAATACACTTTACATATATTTAAATGGAAATACAACAATGAACTACAATAAATTTTGTAAAAGCTGTTCAAAATAAATAAAAAATTAATAAAATATTTGATATATATATATATATATATATATATATATACATATATATATATATATTGTCCATATAAGTATAAAAAATATATATAAGAACTTGAATATCGTTATACGAGAACAGTTGTTTTAATAAATTTTTCCAATTAATAATTTTTCCAATATCGTGAACACAACGCTCTTTTATTTTTTTTAATAAATAAACTTAATATAATGAATTAAATGTTAATAATTTAATAAAGTAATATTAATTTTTACTATATTAAAAAAATATTTTGATTTATTATAATTTAATAATTTCAATCAGTGATGCTTAATTCAACAATATTGTTCGATCATCTTCACTTTATCAAAATGTTATTGAAATTATTATTATTATTATTAAATTACAGAATTTTAAGTGAGATTATTTCATTTAATCAAATAACCCGTGTATAATTTACAATACAAAATTACAATTTTTTTTTTTATACAATTTGGTTAATGATACAGAAACAAAAAAATAATAAAAGAAAAATTGGATTAGTTGGAATTTAAAAATGGCTGTTATTACTCATGAAACAAAAACTCAATTTAAATCTGCTCCATTTGATGTAGCGCTAGCTGAAACAGGTAATAAAAATAAAAATTTATTAATATTTTTAGTACATTCAAATATTTACTTTTATAATTATAAAATCATAAAATGGATAAGGCGAAAATTGTTACTCAATCTGCTCCAACTGGTTTAATTTACCAACTGGTTGGAGCGTAGTATTTTAATTTTTCAAAGACAAAAAGGGTTGCTGATTACAATCAGTGAAAATCCTCAATAATTTTTATTTGTCCTTAAGTTGTACGATTCGGCTCTTCTTAATACTACGGAAATTTGCCAAAATTCGATAAGCCATTTTTTAGCCAACTTTAGTTAGTGATAAAAATGAAATTCTACAGAGTCAATCTTTGCTTTGCTGGAGATCTACTCTGTGAGCAAATTAAGAAATAAAAATATTAAAAGTTATTGAAGCCATAAATTTTCGGCCGGAATATGTGATATTTAATTAATAATAATTGGATGGAATTGCCTTGGAGTTTAACATTGCTTGCGTTATTTGTGTTGTACTATATATAGTGCTTCAAAAAGTGATTTAAAATGGCACGTCTAGAATTTGCCTAATCAGAAATAGCCACAGTTTCCATTTGCCTGCAATAATTTCAAGTGTTAATTTTAATTAAAACTTAATTTTATGTGTTATTTCTTAAAATTTCATATTTTATCATGAAATTAGGAACATGCCCTAACTCTTAAGATCTCTTTAATTGAAAATGTTTTAAGGCATTGAATTGAATTTGACGGTAACTTAAAAATTGCAGGAACGAACGACATAATATTATGGTTAATGACTAATTCCATTAAGCTCACATATAACATTAAAAACACAAAATTTCTCATCATAGTGCAAAATTCTTTATTAAAATATTTTATTTATTATAGGCAATTCATTTTACGATTTTATAATTTAATTGATAATTGGTCAATTATTATTATTGTTCTATTTACCAACATAATGTAAAACATAATAATGTTATATACAATGAACATTATTTGAATTAATAAACCTAATAAATCATTTAAATAATTTTAATAATTTATTTTTTTTTTATTATATAAATTTTAAATACATTACAGAATTTGGTCGCTATAATTATTTTTTAATAATTGTATCGGGAATTATTATTGTTAATACAGTTTTAGAAATAACTGGAATAGGTTATGTATTACCAATAGCTGAATGTGATTTAAATTTTAGTGAAACACAAAAGAGTGCATTAAGTTGTATTGGTTTTGTTGGAATAATATGTGGTTCATATATATGGGGTTTATTAGCGGATACACTGGGACGAAGAAAAGTTATGATACCATCAATATCAATTGCATTTTTTATAACAATAATATCAAGTTTTTCAATAAATTTTATAATGTTAATAACATTAAGATTTATTAATGGAGTATTGTAAGTATATAATGATATAAATGTAAACATATGCATAACATATGTATTTTGTATTGCTCATCATAATTTTTTATTTTTTTCTGCTCTCTTTTTTTTTATATAATATTTATTTAGTACATGTGGTGGATCTGCAACTATATTTGCATATTTAAGTGAATTTCATTTTTCAAAAAAACGTAATCGTGTTATTATGGGGGCATCATTCTTTTCAGCAATTGTATCAATAAGTTTTCCATTTGTTGCTTGGTTAATAATAAATCAAGATTGGCAATTAAAAATTGAATTCTTAGGAATAATTTATAAACCATGGCGACTTTATTTAATTAGTTGTGGACTTTATGGTCTTTTAGGTACAATTTGTTTATATAATTGTTATGAAAGTCCAAAATTTTTATTATGTATTGGAAAACAACAAGAATCTTTAGAAATATTAAAAAAAATATATTCAATTAATACTGGTAAACCATCAAGTGAATATACGGTAATTATATTCGAATAAAATTTAAAGAAATATTTTAAAAATAAAAATTTCTAATAAAATTTTCTTTTGCATACTTATAGATCACATATCTTGAACCAGAACAATCATCAATTAATATTAAAACAATTGAACCGGCTAAAGAAATTTCAAAATCATCATTTATAAATACTAAAATAATATGGCAACAAACAGCTCCATTATTTTCAAAACAATTGATAAGGAGTACACTTGTATTATGTTTTATGCAATTTTGTACATATTGTACAGCACATGGTATGCGTATATGGTTAACAGAAATTTTAAATAGTGTACAAATATATTTACAAAATGCAAATGGTACAGTTGAAATGAGTGTTTGTGATATTGTAAAAGATCATAGGAAAATTATGAATTTAGAAGAGAATAAATTAAATGTAAGTTTTTCAATTAAATAAAAATTAAGTTAAAGTAAAAAATTTCTTTATAATAAAAAAAAGGGTTCACAACGTGTTGATAAATTAGAATTTGGAACTATTGAATATACAGTTATATATGAAGTTATATATCCGATAGCATTTCTTCTTGTGGCCAGTGGAATGAAATTTGTTGGACGTGTTAAAATTTTATGTAAGCATTTTTTATTATGAAAATTTATTCAAAAATGATGAAATTCAATTTTATCTTTCTTAATAAACAGTTTTAATATTGACAATTTGTGGAACTTGTAGTATTTTATCAGCTGTTATTAATATACCAATTATTGGAATATTTTTATATTTAATACAATTATTAGCTGGAATTGGAGTTACTGTGATCAGTTCATTAAGTGTTGAATTATTTCCAACACATCTTAAGTAAGTATATATAAGTAATTTAAATTTTAATTATTAATAAAATAATTTGGCTATTTTGAAATAATTTTGTTTTTTTGTTTTTTTTCTGTTTTAGAACAATGGCTGTTTCATTAGCTTTTATGTTTGGAAGATTTGGTAGTGTTTTTGGATCTAATCTATTTGGATTATTAATGAGTAATCATTGTGAAAAAGCATTTATTGGTGCTGGTACTATGTTAATATTAAGTGGTTTTTTTATATTTTTATTACCAAAACCAGTTAAAACAGTTTTGCCAACAAAAAACAATGAACCAATTGAAAATGAAAATGATGAAGATATTTATATAACAAAGCTTTAATAAAATAATTTTTTAAGTATACGAGTATATAGAGAATATTTAATAATAATTTTAAGAATAAATATTTATTTTTAGTATAATTATCAAAAAAACAGAAAAACAATTAGTAAAATATATAAATTAATAATTTTATACGAATGTACAAAATTTATAATTAATTATTATATTGTAATTAATATTTTTTAATTAATTTATAGTTAGTTATGCTAATTAATTACTTAAAATGTATACGAATATAAGATTTTTACATATCGTAAATTTTCTATATATCTATTGTATATATGTAAATTAATATTTAAAATAATTAGAATAAATTCATTTTTGTCCCAGACTAAAATTTTTCATATTGTATGAAATTTTATATTCAAGTATTGTGAGGGTAATATTTTAGTAATTTTTTTTTATAGAAATTATTCCAGGATTACCAGGGACACGAATTGCGTTTGAATTATTTTGAAATATGAAAAATACATTGAAAAATATTTTTAATATTATTAAAAAATATTTCATTTTTCGTAGGAAAAAAAAACTAAAATCTTGATTTTCAGTATAAAGGACGAAATCAAAAAAATATTTCAATACTTTTCATATGTTTTTTTTTCTTTATGCCAATCAAACTAAAATTGTATATAACATCTATAATATTTCTTGGAAATTTTCATTCTTGTGATTTTTTAAAATCAGCTTTCAAATTTATTTTTTTTATTCAAATAATTTTTTTTATACAGAATTTACCCATTTTGTATGTAGCATATACAGAATCAATAGTTTTTGAATAGATTTTTATTTTTATTTTTTTCTGTGAAAATAAAATGAATGCTTCAAAAATAATTGGCAATATATTCTGGATTTTAGTATATGCTTATGAATTTGATTCATGTTTTTATAATATTGAAAAATCTAAAATATTTTGAATATTAAAAAAAATATTTTTTATTCAGTAAGAGAGGAAAATTCTTATAAATTTAATAATTTCAAAATAATTGTAATTAGTTGAAAATTGTATATTTGGAAGGTTTGAACAATTTGTGTCCACAAAATCAAAAAAAAATAATTGCTTGTTTTTTATAATAACTTTAAATTTTCGGTACAATATTGGGACAGGCATCGTTCATTACTGCTATACTTGCATTTATTAAGCGGATTTTCTCGTAATTTGCTCGGGGATTCTTAATCATTCCAATTCTTTCAAAAGTATTGCAATTGTATTCTGAAATTTAATTTTTGAAGACCGGTTTGGTAACTAGCCATTTTATCGTTCTTAATATTTTTCAATATTCTTTATATATGAGGAAAATTCAACTAAAAAATATTCACAAATATGAGGAACAAAAATAACTATTCAATATGAAATTTTGCACAGCTAGAGCTTGAATCTATAATTGAATAATTCAGAATTTTTTTTTGATATTGAATAATTCTGATGAAATCAAATCTAGCAATTTCTTTTTTGATAAAAATTTTAAAATTAAAATAATATTTTTTTTTTGTATTATACGAGTATGTATAAAGTAAAAGCCACGGTAAAATTACAATTTTTCAATTCAAAAGCAAAAAAAAAATTCCAACAAGAATTAAAATTAATGGAAAAACTGTTTGAATAGTTTTTTTTTTTTCAATTTTAATTTCTTCAGATTTTATTCTAATTTTTCATTCAATTTTATGTAGGCGCATTAAGCACTTATGTACATAAAACGTTGCTAACAAATCTCTACAGATTTCGTGCATATACATATATATACTCGTATTAAAAATTCTTATTGTTGGTAGGTACTTAGAATTTATTTTAGAATTGAATGTAGAAGCAATTCAATAAAGAAATTTATAATATTAAAAAATTGAGAGAGATATTTTGTAATAATCTCAATAAATACTCCCATTTTTTAATTAAATTTTATGTAGTATTATAAGCTACATGATTGAGTGCAATAATGTAGTTGTAGTTTTATAATATTTGCAAATAATTGTAGCTAAAAATATAATTGAATTAATCAATTACAAAAATCTGTGAAAATTCTCACAGTCTATGTGAATGAAATTTTTATAGAAAAGCAATTCTGTTTCAAATTACTTATTATACTTATAATTTCTAAATAATTTGAAGTTTATTTTCAAAATTTTATTTTAATTTTAAAATGGCGAAGGTTTTTTTATTTGTATATGCTTTTTACACATACGTTCATACGAGTATATTATTTACTTTTGTAATAAAATTATTGAAAATTTCTTTTATTGTATTGTAAATTTTAATAATATTATTCTATAAATAAATTTTTTTTTTTTTTTCAAAAAATTTAAAATTCTATTGAATGAAAATTTAGTGTAGATAATTATTATAAATTCTTTTAAAATTTTAATGTATAAAAATTATTGGAATTTTTCCTTATTTACTTATACCTTTTTTCATAGTGAATTTTATTGTTCCCATTTCGAAATTCGCGCTATTCAAAATCAATATTAACTTTAATTTTCGGATTTCATAGGAGAATATTTAATAATTATGAGAAATTTAGTAATTAACTACAATAGAATATAAAGTATGGTTTGTTTTATAAAACATGGTACAGCTAATGTAGATATTCATAAAATAAAATGGTAGATATTGGTGAGTAGTTATTCTATTATCCTTGTAGATTAGTATTACAAGCATCCAAATATATTTGATGTTTGAATAACAACTAAGTGGACCTTGTTTTCAGCAAAATTTGTTTAATAGTTTATAATTATATTTTATATACGAAGAATTTAAATTTAAATTTGATTTCATATCTGTTTTATTGGCTAATTAAGGCGATTTGGAATACAATTATTGTATGTGAAGAAGCTTCATCTAGGTCGAACCCCAAAAGACATTGATATTGTTGGATAAAAATCATTTGTGTGGAGACTACGCAAATATAATTTGCGTAGAAACATTTAGTAGTCGAATATTCTAAAAGTTTATTTAATGATAGAAAATTTGGTCTGGAATAGAAGTTCCGGAAAATCACTACTCACTGCACATACAAACACAAAATAAAAATATTTTTTTAAATACATATTTATCAAATTTAATGCTATTTTTTTTCTTATTGAATATTTTTACTCTAAAAATTTTTTTAATATTTTTTTTTTACAATCACGTTTTAATAATCTCTCATAATATTTTATTTCCATTGTTTGTTACATTTTCATAAAATTTAAATTCTACTGATTTTTTATTGAATACAAAAAAAAACCAAAAGAATATTTTTCAAATGTTAAAAAAAAATATTTTTTTGATTTTTATTTTTATGGTGTCATAGAGTAAATATGAACTACATTAAAATAAAAAAAGAAAATATGATTTATATTGTAATGTCGCTTTGAATTTGACATGTTCTTAAGGGAATCCTTATTGCATATTGCAATTTTTTTTTATGACCACATATATATACATACATATAATATGTATACGTACACAATGGATGATAGCATTATTATATTTTTAATGTTGATGTTATTTGATTTTTATTATTTTCATATTTGACCAACAAAATAATCCATGTAATATCGTAAATCTCTTACACAATACTTTATTTATTATTCCAATATAAATTATATTAGAAATATAAAATTTTTCGTTACAGTGTGTACGCTTATTAAATGCGCTTCCATATGTTTTGTAAAGAGCCATATTAGTAGCGAAAATTACTTTATGTAGCCAATGTTCACAGATCAATGTAGGTTCTAAGTTTCAACTTCTTGTTGGAAATTTCTTCTCCTATTTCTAGTTATCGCTTCACTAAATTCTTAAAATTTTAATTTTCGGAACCTTATGTTTCTATAAAACAGCAAGCATTTTTGAATTTCTATAAAACCAAAAAGGTAAATGCTATGCCATTAAAAAATATGATTATTTTATTTAAAAGGACGCAACAAATCACTGAACTCGAGGATTATTAACATTTCTTAACAAATTTTTTTTTGTTTCATCCTAAATGTATGCAATTAATTTATATATGTATGATGATATTATATGAATGGAACAATATCTTTAATTGTTCTTGACTCCATGGAAAATTACATGTGTTTAAATTTGTTTCATAAAATTTTTGATGTTAAGTTTTCACTTTCACAAAATTATAAATTTTTAAGTTGACGTAACATTGCAGCTGTAAATTAATTTAAACACACGAGGAACCGTTTCAAGCATACACTCAGGAAAATTTTTTTTAATTTAATTGGCTGTTTTTCTTTAATTTGCAAGCTTGAAAAATTTTCGATTATAAAAATTTTAGCACACATAAAAATTATTACACTGTACATAATGAAAGCAAACACCCTGTATATGCATACATGCTAGTACGGAAATCTATAAGCACTGATCAAAATATCTAAAAAGAGCTTCAATAACGAAAAGTATTGTAATAAAAAAAATATATATTTTTTTTTCTTCTTTTACTTTTTGTGGAAGTTATAAAAAGAAATCTGTTTTTCTAGGACATTTCCGTACATATCAATAATTTAAACCATGCTCACTTCCTATGTATAATAGTTTTCCATAATACATATACACAAATACAAGTTTCTATACAATAACTGATTATCTGTCCGTATATAAGAATAACTAAAAATGCATAAAAGAGTATAAAGTAGTGTGTAAGCTGTAAAGCTTATGAGAATATTCCAATGATAATCGTTTTTTCAAACTTAAATTCTTTTCTCACATATACATTAGGTATATTAAAATGTAAGCAAGTTAGTATTAAAGGAAACTGCTTGAAACGAGCTAATTTTTTAAATATAATTTTTTTTTTGTAATTTGGAAATTAAAATTTGTTAGAAGTGCCATTGTTCTAAACTAAATATTCTGTAATTTTCCAAAATAAATACTAGAATTAATTAATAATCACGAGACCAAATGAAGTGGTGGAAATAAGAAAATTTGAATTACCTGGAAGTAGCTTATGGTACTCTTAGCTTGAATCGAGCAATCGAGTAGAAAGACTAAATCTCGTTTCCTATTTTTTTTTTGTAAA